GGAGGATTGGGCCTAAAAGGGGGGGGTTCCTTGATTGTCTTGCCGCTGGTAGGTAAAAACATTTTTATTCTGGCGAGCCTGTAGAACTGAATTCCTCACTGAGGGAGGGACTTCTAACTTAGTGAGTGTTGTGGCTTCTTCTGTTGGTGGGTCTTGTGTTTTTAAGTGATGTTTTAAGTTTCTGAAGACTTCCCTCCTCCCTTTTGTACTCGGTAATCGTCGCCTCCCTTGAGTCCCAATTCATGAGACGACAGAAAGATAGAAATAAAATAGCTCCTCCGCCACGACCATGGGCAGGACAGGTAAAAGCTGGAGGGGATTGTTGTCCCCGAGATCTTGAAGAGAAGGGCAGCGAAAGATGGCATGGTCAACACTGTGTCTTGGCATCACTAGCATTAAGATCAGTTATGACTAGACTCGGTATTGAGACTTGTAATAAAACCTTAAAAGCGGACAACTGGGTATATCTATAATGGAAAGGGTCACTCCAGGAGCTTAGTCTCACACTCAAGGGTGCCCAGTGGCAAATGCCTCATCGGGTAACTTGATAGGTCCATGGATGGACTGTCATATAAATAGCACTGTGTGGGACATACGTATTCCTTCACGTTGTCATCAGGTGCAGTTGTTCAGCTGCCAGTTACATTCGCCATAACCAAGCCAAGATCATGCACGTGTGAACCACCCAAAAAGGTGAAGGGAATGTCACAGAAACTCCTCTAAGCTGCAGAAAAACACAAAACATTTCAAGATGCCCTTTGGGGTTTTGCATGGCTCCTGTGCAAAATATAGACTTCAGTTATTCACAGCATCCGTTATGTCCTGCAATACCTCATGTTTATTTATTTATTTTAAATTCAAGCTTCTAATCCTTGTGGGAAATGGTTTTTGTCTCAAAGAGGATAGTTTTGCGTTAGTTGGAACTCTGTCATTATGCTTTACTGATAGCGGTTGAGGGCAGGGGTGCTTTTAGAAGAATCCTTAGAGAGGCATGGTTGGCTTTGTTTTCATTTCGGTGGATTTGTTATTTTGACACGGAGCATGTTTCTACTCAGTTAGATGTCACTTAACACCCAGCCTTGGTCCTCAAGATGTTCTTGGACTTCAACTCCCAGAAATCCTGGCCAGCAGAGGTTGTGTGAAGGCTTCTGGGAGTTGTAGTCCAAGAACATCTGGAGGCCCAAGGTTGGGGACCACTGACTTAACAGACACCAGTCTTGGGTCTAGTTTTCTCATGGCTGGAAACACAGGGAGGGTGTGACTATCTCAACTGTTGGGGCACCAAGCGCAGCAAATCTGGCTGCCCTCCAAAGCTCCTGACACCACGGCTTCACTTTTTCCATGCCACACTTTGCATTGGCTCTGAACACAGCTGTCTAGGCTCTCTCTCCCTGCAGAATGCTCTGCAATGTAATGCAGTGTAAACCACCTGCAGGTTTACTCTGAAAACCTTCCCTGTAACTGTCTCAACTGTTGGGACACCAAGCGCAGCAAATCTGGCTGCCCTCCAAAGCTCCTGACACCACGGCTTCACTTTTTCCATGCCACACTTTGCATTGGCTCTGAACACAGCTGTCTAGGCTCTCTCTCCCTGCAGAATGCTCTGCAATGTAATGCAGTGTAAACCACCTGCAGGTTTACTCTGAAAACCTTCCCTGTAAAGAAGAACTGCCTGCCCAGGAAGTCTCTTGTGTTTTTATGCAGCCCTAGCATTTTGTGTAAAGATGTGCTAACTGGCTCAAACTCCCTTTGCAGGGAGATCTGCCAGGGTAGGTTGGAAAGTGGGAAGATGAGGTGGAAGAAGCAAGTGGTAGCAGTGCTCTGTGCTGTTGACTTCTCTATGAACCTAGAGGTATTTATCTGAAAGGAGGACAACTCTCTTAATTCAGTGGAACTTGCACCCAAGGCTGTCAACCTTTATGGATGGCTGGATCCCTAAGCAGGGGCATCTACTGACTGCAGCATTGTGAAGGTGCTAGCAAGAGAACATACTTGGAAATGAGCCCCATTGGAATGGGTAGGGCTTCTGAGTAAACACACTTAGGGTTGTGCTGTTCATGTCTTGGGGCCTCAGTCATGTGATCTGATGAGATGTTTCATACAGACATGCTCCTTGGGGGGCAAGGCTGAAAAGCATCCTTGATCACCTTTGGAAATGAAACAAATGCGTTGTTTCTGGGTACAGGGTGAGGAGCGCAGAAGTAAGACTTCACAAAAGACATTGGTTTGTCATGATGCCTTTTTTCTTTCTTTCACAGGTTCTGCATGGTGTACTCAGAGGTGCCTAACTTCAGCGAACCCAACTCTGAGCATCTTGGGCAGTCCAACAAAGCGGTATGTCAGTCATGTGCCCATTTTAGCCAAACGTCTGGCATCTTGAAGCAGGGATTATCCAAGATGGGGAAACTTGTGGCCTTCCAGATGTGGGGAAACGACTCTCATACAGTCTGTGACCGAGTCCTAGTCGTCTGTAGATGGTCTTAAGTCTCCTCACCATACTGCAGACCATTCTTGCAGTGTGGCTTTTATGAGGAGTGAGTTTTGTTCATTCTTTGGAGGAGATGTCTGTTTACAGAAAAGAGCTGAGGCTTCTGTTGGTGTCTCTTGTGGCTATGGCCACCTCTGAAACCCCCATATTTCTTTTCTCTTTCTTTTTTGTGCCATGGAGTCGGCTAGTTGGTTGTCTTAATTTTTGTCTCTCTTACACTTCTTTTTAAAGGCACAGGGTGAGCAGAGTAATAACACCCTTCCGTCAACTAATATGGGTACTTGTACTTTTGGGCCAACCGGTAAGTAAATAAACGTGTGAGAGTGAATGTGGGGCTGGGGAGACTGGTTTTTTTGGAAATGCAAATGGAGGGAACACCATGCTGCTTAGTCTATTCTGAGGTGTGCATGGTATGATCTGTGGACTAAATGTAGGACTCCAGGGCCCAAATGTGGCATCTTAGGGGCCCCCAGCCCCCTCCCCCCCCCACAAAACATAAAAGAATTTAAAAAGTTGTCCACCTTGTGCTTTGTGAAGGACATGGACTGCAATCCTGCTGTGTTTGGGCCTTCTCCTGCCTCACACTCCCAATTCTATTCTTTTTTTAAATATGCTGTAGGTTACTGGAAGAATGAGGGTTTTTTTTCAGATATTTTTGGGGTGGGTAGGGTGTTGAGTGTGGCATTCCAAGTTGTACATAAAGTGGATGGTTTGTCCATTTTTAGGGTTTTTTTAAAAGTTTAAACTGGTGCAGATTTGGCAAGTTAAGATAAAAAAAAACCATGGGGCTAAATCTAGTGTTTGTTCCAACTAGAGTAGGCCCATTGAAGTTCTTGTTGCTTGTGACTAACGGGTCTCATTCGTCTTGGTTGGGCCTACGGTAGTTGAAACCAGAATTACAGTTAGAAACCCTGGTTTGATCTCCCTTCCGGAAAGGGACAAGCGGTTGTGAAACAGGTATCTCCCGGAAAGGGACAAGCGGTTGTGAAACAGGGACCCTGCATACGTCCCTTCCTGTTGGACAAGCGTTTTTTTGGAGGGCAAACTTTGCACCCTTGGGCCCACTGCAGCTGCTGCTTTACTCCATGGGATATCACGTCCTGCCTGCTTTTTCCCCGTTCCTTCCCACTCAGGAGTGTGATCATCTAGCATCGAGCCAAACAGGAAGTGTGGGAGGAAGCCAAGTAGCATTCCTACCCAGCAAATCTCCACAGCATGTGTGCCCTCAAGGTGCAAACAGAGCAGGAAGATTAGCTACACTCTGTGCCCTGGTTGGTGTTGAAAAGGGATCGTCTGCTGTTATGCTTTCATGGTTTAACACGTTTGATCGCTGTTGTGAGCGTTTCCCTTTTCTCCTATGGAGGCCCTAGAAGCTGTTGGAAGTGTCTTACGTTTTGGGTCACACCAACTGCAAGTTATTCATTACATCTGAAGAATGGTAAACTTTCTTCTACTGCCGGAATGGGACAGTACTAGCAGACCTGGAGGCGAGTTTTCTGCCCTGGGATCCTCTGGAGATCACAAAGATGCCCCCCCCCCAAAAAAAGGTGAAGCTATAAGGGTCTGTCTGGAAGTTGAGTCATGGCAACTGGACTTCTTTCTTGTTAGGCTGAAACGTTTGGCTGCTCCTCCAGGAGCTTCTTCTGTCTTGGTTGAGTAGCAAAACATTTCAACCTGGTCAAGTAGCAAAAATATTTCAACTTAACGAAGAAAGAAGTCCACTTGCCATGACTCAACTTCCAGATAACCTCACCTAGAAGACTGAGAATCTTCACAGGGTCTAGTTTCTAGAAGAGTCCTGCTTCTAGTCTTGGAAAATGGCTGTTTTGGGGGGACACGGGCCTCTGACCTGTTTATACGGTGAGCTGTTGTCAGTCCCAGAGACATCTTGAAGCTGCCATTCACATGTCTTTGATGGGAAAAGGAGGGGCAAAGGGTTGGGGGCAACGTTCCCTCTAACGTGGGCGTGGACGCGCTGAGCTCCCATCAGGGCCGCGGAGCAGTTTGAGATTGATACCTGTTCGTTTCGAGATTTTGGATGAAACTCTGCCCCTGCACGCAGATGGGCGAGTGGGGATGAAAGTTAGAGGGAACATTGCTTGGGGGGACAAAAAAATAGCTTCAGGGGACTGCCTGCAACCCCAGAAGCACACTTAGGCCACCTCATTTCTTCTGAAACAAGCCAAGAGGAAAATGCCCCTGCTGCAGCCTTGTGCTTCGGGAGAGAACGGTACACGTTACGATAATCGCAGCTGTGCTTTAGGCTTGGTCCCTGCTCACGGGGCCACCTAAAGGCCATGTTAGTTTGCCAGGACAGCACCAGAAGATTCTTCGACTCTCCCTCTTGTTGGTTTTGTCACAATGATCTGCAAATAGCATCTACTCCTATTGGTACACATTGGTGTCTGCTGGGCTGGTTGAAAACGGCACTGCACCCACTCCCTGCCCCAGACTTGCGTGCCGGTGGCACTTCTCACGCTTTGCCCTCTTAGCCTTCCCAGCGCATCTCGTCCTTTCGTTCTCCCTCGTCTTCCTGTCTATTGATGCCGTTTTCCTCCTGTCGTTCCTCTTCTGTGTGGACCTACCCATCCCCATCCTTCATACCCCAGGTCGGCGCGCTTTGCCTGGAGCCGTGTGGCTGTAAGCTGAGGGTCACAAACCATCGTGGCATTCCAGGCACCTGTTTCTGGTACTGTCAAGATTTGTATTTAGGAGAGAACTCTCCGATCCAATCCAGAGCAGCACGGTGGTACGGTCATCCCCCAGGGTGGTGGTGGTGGAGGAGATGCTGGAGTTGAAGTCCCCTTGTTTTGTTGTATGCTTTTAAAGCATTAATTAGCAGGTAATGCATGATTGGGCATTGCAGCCTGTGCTTGCACGACGGATAGGCAGTGGGTGCCGTGCCTGTTTTTATTTCCATCTTGAGTGCATTTTTGGTCCCTGGGTTTCAGCAGGGCTCTGAGGAGATGCTGCTAAGCTACTGGAGCACGTAACAACTTGTCTTCCCCCACGCCCTTTGGTTTCCCTCACATGTGTTGTTTGAAACAGAAGCTGCCCCTTGGGACCGCATCGTCCCTGCAGATTCTGTCCTGGCTTTTGCATCAACCTTGTGCTAAATGTTCTCTGGATGCGAGCAGCTGGCTCGAAAGCATAAGCCTAGCCCAAGCGTGCCTGATGCATTTCTTTTTCTTGTTTGTTTTGTAGGAAATGGGTTGCCAACGGGACCTGAGCTGAGTGGATTCTCAACGGCATATAACCATGCCCCCCCCTCCTATGCAGGTACTGGGAGGGTGAGTGGGCGGGGGCCTGCCCCTCCCCCTCCCGTGCCATCTAGCAATGCTCGCCCCCCTCCAGGAACGATAAGTAACGGGAGGGACCCACGCAGAGCCTCAAAAAGATGACCAAGCCAAAAACGCCACACTGTGTCCGTCTAAACCTTGTGCCCAACTTGAACACTTCCTGCACTTTTATTTGTGGTTAACTGTGAAAAAGGGTTTACCCTTTCTTCTGGTTTTCAGCCTTCTGTTTGTCACGAGAGAAGGGCACGTTCTCTCTTGGGCTCCCTCCGCCTCGACTCGTAAATTCAGTGCTACGGAAGCTGCTGGTAACTGCGCTGCTCCCAAGAGGAATATGTCTTAAAATAGGGGGAAATCATTGTTGGAAATTTTGTTCATCTCCGAATACGAGACGTCGGTTTCCAAAACAAACTCACCTACTTTGCTGGATGCTTATTTTTATTTTGGTTTGAATTAATACCGCCTTAAGATGTTCCGTGTCTGTTCTGAAGCTAATTCTCCCTTATGATTAGGGGGATTTTGCGGACGAAAAACAGGACGCGCATTCCATCTAACCAGTCAGGGTTCCATTAAAACGGCCTGAGGACAAGTGCAGACCAGCTGTCCAGGGATGTCATAGAAAACAGTCCTTCTATCCTTCTTCCCTCCCTCCCTCCTTGTGGTGGTGGTGGGCTTGGTGGCCGAGTTCCACTGGAGATGGCCATTCTTCTTTTGCCCTTCTCCCGAGAACCATAATAGGCATTCCTGCTGTATGCCAAACAACTTCCTTTTCTGTTTTCAGTCTAGAGCACTGGTTCTTAACCTTGGTTACTCAGATGTTGTTGGACTGCAACTCCCAGAAGCCTTCACCACCAGCTGTGCTGGCTGGGGTTTCTGGGAGTTGCAGTTCAAAAGCATCCGAGTAACAAAGGTTAAGAACCACTGGTCTAGAGTATAGAAGCTAATAACCCCTGCAGGATTTGACAGTATGGGAAGTTTTGCAGAGATTCAGCCAGACATTTCTTGACATACACCTGCAGTTTCTTACGGTGTCCTGAAGATGTTGAAGGCTTCCAGAGCTGCAGGATCCTAGCTGTGGTAGTAAACTTGATTGGGGGGCAAGAGGATCCTTAAATACAGGAAATTAGCATGATTAGTTTGAAATCGGGGTTGAAATCCTCCTGACATGCACATTTTGTTTTTGTGAAGAAGTATTCTTATTATTTAGTTCTCCAGTGTAGGCTCATCCCATGTCTTCATTTGCAGTCCAGGAAACTCCCTGCCACTTGGTCCTGTCGATGGTACACATTCTCGTAGAATGTATTTAAGTGAACAGCCGCACATAAAACATGGGTATGAAAGTGAGTGCTAACACACACATACACACACACCCTTGAGAGTTTCCAGCTGAGTTCTCAAGTGCCTGTTCAACACGAATAAAAGTTTGGCGTTTTGAATTCCTTGATTTCTAGAAAAGCAGCTTGGTTACCGGTCAACACAAACGGTTTCCAAGCAACTGGATTTGAGAGAAGAAGAGAAAAAAATAATAATTCTGGTGGCCTCTGGAAACAAGCGCCATTTTTCGTTTATGTTGTCAAGTATCCTCAGTGTATTTCTCCATTCTGTTTTTGGGGGGGTTACAATTTAGAATCTGTTTAAATGCTGTAAAATACTGGTCCCCTGCCTTCTCTTTCTTTTTAAAGCGGACCTCATAAATAAAAGTTGCACTAACCATGTCAAGAAATGAGAAATCTTAACGTTTTGCTCAGTCGACCTCCTTATCCATGTTTCCAAGAAGGTATGGTTCTCTGAATCACAGTACCTTCCTCGAAACAGATGCTGCCACCAGCTTATTTCTAAGAAGAGAGAGAGAGAGATGAGATGTTTATTACTATACAGCTGTATTCTTGGAGCTGTGAGCCTTACTAGAGTTTTCACCATCCACCTTTATTAATTTTACAGAAAAACACATCTTGTGAATGGGAAGATTTTAAGACCTGGTGTAAATCTGTAATAATAGGAATCGATTGAAAAGAGAACAAGAGACATGTTTTATCTGCAATGAAAAAAACGATGCCAGTGTTTAAAATGATAAGATGTAGACCGGTGTCTGCTGCTGCTTGAGGAAGGTGGGTGGGTATTTTGAGTTGTTGCAGAGGACAAGCGCAGCAAGGTGTTTTTAACAGTGTTTCTTGTACAGCTGCTGCACCTGGTGCTCTTAGGCAATCTATATAATCAAATGCTGTGCGTACGGACCTTCACGCAGCCTGTAGCCCGTTCCTGCCAAATTCCCAGTGCATTGGTAAGTGGGGGCAATTGCAAGTTTGCTGTTCCAAAACCTCTTGACAGTCAGGTAGAAGAAACTGCCTGCTTGCTCCTGAACTGACGGGCAAGCCGTCGGCCACCAGTTTTTTGGTTGGTGGTGAGGAGTACTGAAGCTACACCTCAACCATAGTGGACAGGCCATGCTTCACTTTTTCTGGTATGAAAATGCTAGGAGTTGGCTTTCCTCATACATTTGAGAAGGTTTTTTTTGGCCCTCATAATAACTTCACTGTTTTGTAGCCAAAGCTGGAAGTTTTGCATGCTAAGTTCACTTAGGTATTTTATCTAGGCCATTATCTGGCTCCTAACCTGTGAAACACCTCCCCCCCCCGCCCCACATGTTGGACTTAAGCTCTGAGAACTCCTCACTGTTGGCCAAGTGGCCTTCAGCTTTTAGGAGGTGAAATCCTGGAAAGTGTGGAGAATCGCCTCTCTAGGCTTTACAGTGCTCAATCCAATGCCCTTACAGGCAGATTTTGATGTTGCTCATGGTATTGTGTGGCCTGCCTTCCCATAAGCAGAAATACGCAAACAACACACCAAAATCACAACAGTTTACTGTCATCTTTCCTTGAATTACCCTCAGTAATTGGGTTCAAGTTTTCTGTGGTGCGAAAGACAAAGTGGTGAAACAGTCCTACAGCTGTTGAGCCTGAAAGCACACCTAGTTTTTAGAGGGTTACTAAAACAAACCTATTTATCTCTTGGGGCTGGAACAACCTGGCACTCCTTGACGGCAATTGGCCAAATACTGTAGTATGAGTGTTTCAGGATTCCTAGGAGGGATGTAGCACCAAGAGAGGAAATGAGACAAGAGGGTGCCTTGCTAATTACTCCCTCTGCTGCTCCGGGCAAATAGTAGCTCTGCCTGGCACCAGCACCTCCCAAACTGGATGCTGGCTTGTGTTTGTCTCAAGGCCAAGAAGGATGAAAGGCATCTAACCTGTCTGGTGAGTGTTCTGTGCTGTAATCCAGAATATGACCCATCTACACATTTAAATATGTAGCACCCTAACTGTTAAACTCTTAAATGGTGTTAGGTAATGCAAGGGCTTGGCGCACACACAATTTTTCGATGCTTAGGGTTCTGCTTGGTTGTATCCAACCCTGTGAAGTCTACATCACCTGTAAATGGATGTCAAGAAGAGAGGGTCTAGTAATACTGTGCTCTTTCTAGAGAGGATTATTCACAGAGGAACAAGGAATGGGTGTATAATCTTTGGTCAGCAATGCTTCTGGATGGTTAATGCTAAATTGTTTTTGATGCCACTTGATTAATCATGTCTTTATTTTCTTAAAAGGGCAGATATCTGTATGAAGCCAGGAGAACTTGGAATAAGGCAACCCAGAAGGATCATCTCCTGATGGATACATCTTGCTCTACAGGCAGAATTGTGTGTTCAGTTGTAGTTCTTTTTTCTGTAGGTCCCAGGAATAGTTTTGGGACATGGCCTGTAGTCTCAAGAGTACTGTGTGGTTTCAGAAGAAAAATGTAACTGACAGCTTGTCTTTGCAGCTTCAGAAATCTCATGGATGAGACAAGAGTCTTGCCAGTTAAGAGTTAAAGGTGAATTAACTCAAGCCTCACTTGCATGCTGTCACTGTTCACTGAGAAGTCATCCTGCCCTTAAAAGTAATATCATCCTAAAAGGGGGTGGCTCTGAGGTCACAAGTCTTAACATTAACACTTCATATTCCACTTCAGCAGAAATACCTGTCATGTGAGATGGTTGCAACATTGCTAATGTATTTTTATTTAATTTACATACCTTCCCATTAGTGTGACGCACTGAACAGGAGCTCTTACTTGCCTACAGGCAAACACTCAACCTCAAGCAAACAAACACAATGGACCACAAAACAGCAACACAAATGGGGACTAAACCCTGCCACAGACCGAAATGCCAACTCTGCCCGTACATCTATTCTGGCAACACAAATTGGAGGACCTAACAAGGTCACACATGATATCAAAGGCACCTTCACCTTGTTCTTTAGCTAATGTGATCTATGCCAGTTCTAGAGGATCATCCTTAACTTAGGTTTTGTTATCTCGCATCCTCCCTCTTCTGGCCACGTAGGAGCACAGTCGCAATAGAAGCTTAGAAAAGTTGCTTTCTTTCACTGTTGGCACTTTCGGCCCTCAAGGCTGCCCCTGGCCATGCTGACTGGGTGCTTGGGGGAGCCTTGTTACAAAGGGGCCCTTTTTCCTCATTCACCACCTTGTAAAATACCAGTGAAGCCAATCTGTTTCAACCCCTGTGAACAGTAGAAGCAAGCCTGCTAGAATTTGCTCTTGCTCTGCTGCTGCTGCAGGTGTGGCGTCAGCAGTGTTGTCCGCCTTGCTTTTTAACGCAAGGCAACAGCCTCCCTCCACCCCGGCTGGCTGGCTTGTATGGGAAGGAGCTTTCTAGGGGCTCACATGCAAACATGTACAGCCCTGTCGTGAGGATTGCAGTCCCGTCTGCTAACATTTAAAAATACAAACAGAAAAAGCATGCAAACAAATTTCCCCATTCCAGTCCTAATTGTGGAGAGATTTCCAGGAATCTGGGAATCTGAAGCTAGTATGTGGAAATTTACAATATAGTTGGTATAGCCATGGGGTAAATGCTTTTGTCACCCGAGAACAAGAGTCGTACCAGCTGGGAGGCGCTTGCTGTATGATATAGTGACTATGCTGACTATTAATCAGAGGACAGGTGTCATGGAGTGTTTGTCTGAATGCTCCCTCTAGTGGGGTTAGCCTGCATGGGATTGGATGAATGTTATCAGAGGGTTGCAGTACCACCTTGTATCTAAGTCTGTGTTTAACCTGAAGATCTGCCCCCTTTCAGTATGAAATAGCAGTGGTTAAGGAAGGAATTGGCCTTGTGCTCTGGACTGAAAAAGGCAAGTGGAACATTTGAGAGAAATAGAAAAAGAAACCGTTGTAATGAAAGGTTTCAGGAGAAAGTTGTAGGTCCATGAGCTGCATGTGCAACATGCTTGTTTTGTTACTTTTCCTACAATGGAAATTGCAGTTCCATCTGATGCACAACATTTACATGGGAGTGCATCTGTCTCCATTCTACCAGTCACTCCTTTGACAACTTTGTTTATCGTAGTTGTGAGCTGCCTTGTTCCCCCTATGGGGGAAAAGGTGGCATATAAAAACAGTAGGACCCCCTTATCCATGGGATCAGTACCAACTGGTTCACTTATCTACAGTTTGAAAATATTAAAAGAAAAAAAAATCCAGAAAAATATTTTCACCTGCATTATTGGAACCAGCCACTAGAAGGAGCCAGAGACTGCTATGTATACAAGTTAGTGAAGCATACATAGTATGGTCTCTGGTGCTCTCTAGTGGCCAGTTCTGGGAATGCATGAAAGAATTACTTTTCCCCCCTCTTTAATCATGCCATGTATATATATAGTGTTCACCATTATCCATGGTTTTCAGTAACCACAGAACCAATCCCCAGCAGGTATGGGGTGGTGGTGGCCATACTGTACATAAATATTCCCCTTCCAACAAGATTAAAGAAAAACCTTGTAGGAGGAGACAATAGTGACTTAGTAACAAATTAAAATAAAAAGGACTTCTGGGTAGACTAGAGTAGCATGTTTTTCTGGTGTTTGTGTATGTGTGTGATTTGTAGTGGGTTCACAGTCCACAGCACTTGTGGTCAAAAGAAGGCGTCATCCAGGGTTGCTCAACTGGTGATTGATCAAGCCAGCTGTGAAACAGCGGAGATGGGTGCCCAGGCTTAACAACCTCCTTGCCTAACAAAGCCAAACTTCCCCCTAGCCTCTTTCACTCTGAGGTTGGTTTCCAAGCTTGGAGACTTCAGAGGAATAGGATCAGAGATCCTTCAGTCAGCATTCTTGAGACCTGGCAACCCTAAGAATAATGCTTTGGAAAAGCTTTAGAAGCCTGCTTTTCCCAGGTCAGTCCTACGCAGTGGAGAGGAAAGGAGCAGGGAGGACCCATAGATTGGACCCACATGGTGGTGGGTACTCCAAAAAGCACTGGGTGACACCCTCATCCTTTCCCCAGTTTTAGTATGACCTTTGGGTTTCTGTGTAGCCTTCGCACCTTCAGTGTACATTCTGATTTTTTTTCTTCAGTCCTCTTTTCAGCAATCTTTGACACAAATGTCAGTTTTTTCAGTCCTCTTTTCAGCAATCTTTGACACTGGTGACTCCTTCTCCTTTGGACACTGCCTCTCTCTCACACACACACACACGTGTGCGCGCACACACACTGAGGCAACAGCCTTTGTCGTCTTCCTGCTTCTTCCCCCACCTCCATGAATGCAAGGATATTGTTATGGGGTCATGCGCCACAAGGGAACTGCCAAAACACTTTCAGGACCACAGTTTGCCCTTTTCTGGTCCAAGAGTTGAACACTTGGGCAATGAGTGCAAGGTTGTTGATTTTCTTTTTTAAAGCATCCAGGTGGTCCCAAAATGGTGCAGTTGAAAATTGTGTTACATGACATCGCCTGTCATTGAATCTCTTAACAAACCATTGTGCATCACCTGTCTAATTTTCTGTTTTCCCCAGCTGCACATCAATCACTTTTCAGTTGCATATTTTTAATTGCATATTTTGTGCTCAACTGCATAATAATAACATTAATAGTAATAATAATAGCAGCTTCTGTTGATGGCTCTTTTTATTAGCGTGCTTATGGACTATTAAACTTTTCCTATGGCCCCCTGGATCTCAAACCACGTCTTTATAGCTGGGGTGGGGGAAAATTTGCCTTATTTTTCTCACTCCCAGCAGTTTCAGGCTAGGTGAGGCTTTTCACTCCCCAAATAGAAAACTCTTTTGAGTACAGAGATGGCCAAAAAATCAAACAAATAAATTGAAGAACTTTCTGCTTGCAGCCACTAGAGGGCACAAAGGGGATATTTTTTTCCACCCCAGGTAAGAAAATGAATAGTACGTACTGTAGTTGGAAGGGCGGCAGATGGCCGCCCGCCCTCCAACATCCAGGGAGACCTGTGTGTGTGTGTGTGGGGGTGTTCTGTGGCTGCCGAACCTCCAGGGATGGTCCAACCTTGCTTTAAAAGAAGGAAAACGGCAAGCCCCTGCCAGGCCCACAGCTGGCTCTTTAGGGATTACTGAAGGACAAGCTGAGCATACACTAACTGGAGGGGGGGGGGGACACCCCAAGTGCTTTGCTGTTCTGAGGTGCTTCCCCCACCTCACCCATTCGCGGTGGTGACGGGATACCATCCTGCACAACACCTGAGAGCGTAGAGTTTTGGTGGAACTGAAATG